CGGCCTCCGGGACCCGCGCGGGCGCCCGCGAGCCGCTCGCGCCCGGCCGCCCACCCTACGCGCTGGGCAGCCAGCAAGGTTGGGGCGTCGCCGCAGGCCAAGCAGCCGCAGGGGCTGACTGCAGGGCGCAGGGCTCGGCCGGCCAGGCGCTCCAGAGAGCAGCGGCTTGTCGGCGGCTGCAGCCCCGGATTTATATTTGATTTATTTTTTATTTTGTAGCACAAACAGAAATCCATAAACTGTCGGTTCAGCGCCATTGACTCTCTGACCAGTTACTGGGCTCGCTCTTTCTCCCCCTCCCCCGCAACCCTGCTCTTCCCCGTCACGGTGAGGAGATTAAATGCTTTTATTTTCAGTCCTGTTTATGCTGCAATTATGTGGGGCCAAATGAATGGCAAAAGTGACCGATGAACCTAAGGGTCCCCCTCGTTCACAGCAAGGCAACTTCACGCTGGCTACGGAAACCTGGTCCTGAGACCACAGAACTGCCCCACCAGCTGGCCTCTACATACAAAGGAAATGAACGCCCAGTCAAGAAGCAGCAGAGTCCCAGGGCTTCTGTGGACCCAACGGCCTTCATCACCTACAGCCTTTGTGCCAACGTCCAGTTTACCTGTCAGAGCCCTGTGGCTCCTGAGAAAAGCGCACTGCTGTGAAAGACCGAACCTGCCCTGCAGGGTGAGGGCAAACTTTCTCTTAGGAGAATAAACGTAAATCCAAATTCCTTCCTTCCCAGAAAGGGAGGCCCCAGGCCCGCGCTTTCTCACCGGGCTCACGAGTCTGAAAATTAGCATCCAAAAAAAGAATAAAGAAACCCCAAAAAAGACCCCTGGAGGCGCTACTTTCATTCCCAAGCTTGCAATCCAGCTTGGCAAGATCTTTCCAACCAACCTGTGGTCAGGGGGTGGGGGTGGCGCGCGACCCGGGAGCGGGGGCAGGCGTTCTACACTGGACTTCCCCACCCCCACCCAGAATCCCTCCATTTTAAGAAAGGGGAGTGGGGGCTCTTGAAATCAACAAAACCAACACATTGCCACCGGAACCACACCAGCAGTCCGAGGGGGGCAAGCAGAGAAGACAGTCAGGCAGGGCTGGATCGCTCTACTGCACTTAATCACATTACTGATAGCCAATAGTTATCGTGGAGAGCTGGCCAAGACAGGTTAAATAATTTAATAAGGAACTGCTTGTAATTGTGTTATTTACAAGGTATGACAGGGGCGAGGGGCAGACACTGCCTCTGAGCAGTGGATTGTTTGGGGTGACCTCTGGAGCTGGGAGTTTGAATTATGGAGCTGGGGGGGGGGGACTTGAGGGGGGGGGGTTGACTGAGAGGTGAAGATGGACTGAAAAACAGGGTGGCTTTTCACCCCTGCACATCTAACTTCTAAATCCAAATAAATGTCTCGTGGTACTAGACTATCGCGCTGGAAAGGGGGGAGGAAAAATGAACCAGCCAAGGTTGCCTTTGTTATACAGGGGGGGGCTGGTAGAAATCAATGAAATGATTCCAATCGGAGAGAGAAAAAACGTTTAAAGATAAATAAAGGGAGGAGACGGGTGGTGACATGCTTCAATCAAATATTAATTACAAAAATTAATTAAGACAGAATTTGATTCCAATCACAAACCATTGCATAAAAGCATCTATGTCCAGCTCCAAGACAACAATCAACTCCTTTTACCCATCCCTTCATTTGTCCCGATAAATATGGGATTCTCATTAGCGGGCCAGGGAAGTGAAATGTAAAGCTTCCGTCAGCCCCTGGCCTGGGCACCCCCAAGACGGCCCCCCAGCTCGGCTGTGAGCACCAGGACGCAGGAAGCTGGCTCACCTGTTTGGTCATTGAGTCTATGAGGCGGACATACAGATCCTGCTCCGTTCTGACCCCTGCAAAGAAACAGAGAGGTTCTCAGCAGGCTGCCAGCCCTCCGGCTCGGGAAGGGCCGGCCAGCACCGGAAGTCGGCTGACTCCGGGCTGCAGCCTGAGATGCGCCAGAACTTAGCGCCAGCCTCTGAAGGCCGAGGGCCCCACCACACTCGCTCCCAGCTCGTGGTTTGGTTTGGTTCCTTTCCGTTTCCTAATGGCTGCGCCCTTGAAGGCTCCCCGGGTTTGCATTGAAAGAGGCAAGCGATGTGCCTGGGCTGGCGCCGAGAGGGCAGGCCTGCTGGCTGGCTGGCTGGGCCCGTGTGGTCCTTCATTTTTAGAAGACCTCAGGCAGGCACGAATGGAGTCTGAACTCTGGTCCAACTCTCCCGAGGGTTAGCTTCCGACTCGTGCACCGGAAGTCAGTTCTGCTCCCGTTTATGGAGCCACCCCCATCCCAATAATTAACATTAATTTGCAAAATTGAAAAAAGTCACTTAAAAGTGATGTTCTGCCTGAACTCATATCGATCCCTTTTTACTTTCTACGGCGAGCCCCGCCGCTTAATCATGTGGAGTGCCATCGACGTATCGATCGCCTGTGTTTTGTTTTCTTTCTATGCCATGAGAAGGTTTCGTGTTTACATCCGTGTCATTTTAATCTCAAAATCTCCCTATCCTCTCACCACCTCGGGCAGGGCCAGCGGCAGGGCAGCGGGCACTCACCGTTGCTGTACAGTAACTGCAGCTTATAGTGGATGCCGTTGTTGGTTTTCTCGTTGTTCGGCTCCTGAAAGGAACGAGAAATCACGGCACTGAGTGCGACCGGGGTCAGGCGCGGCCACCGCACTCGGTGCCCCTCCACAGCGGAGGCCCCTGGGCCTGGCTCAGGGCGGGATCCCAGCTCAGAGCTGCGCGGTGATGTCACCGCCCGGATGGAAGCCCGGCTTTCTCCCGGCCGCAGCCGAGCCCCAGGGCCCAGGGAAGTGGCCCGGCCCGGTGGGGCCCGCGCGGCGGCCGCACGTGGCCGCAGCGAGTGGCCTAGTGGGGTCGGCCCCTCCGCGCCCAGGGCCCCCGCCGCCTCCCGCTTCCAGACCCTCAGAGGAGGTGAGTGCGAGTGGGCACACTTACTTTCTCTTTCTCCACAAAGTCCACAAAAGCCGTCCTTTCGATCTCCACCGGCTGGCCCTGCCGGTCATAGAGCGCCAACACGAAGTGGAAAAAATTGGATTTCCGGAGATTGGAAGGCGGCTGCTTCTCGAAGTGCGCCCGCGCCAGCCCCACGCCGCTGCGGGAGGAGAGAGACAGCGGCCGGTGAGGGGCGCGGGCGGCGGACCGGGCAGCGGGCCGGCGGC